TCATAAATGAGGAAATTCCCCTTGCTCGGCTCCGTTGTGTCCTCTTAAACCTCCGTACCTCTCTCCTCTCTCCGCCCGTCTCATTCACGTCATGTGCTTGGGTGGCTGGGATCAACAAAGGCTTTGTATATATGTGTTGTGGTGATAGAACCAACTGTTGGTCTATTGCCCTCCACTTCTTTCCACTCCGTCCTTCTTCGTACCGCGATGCTGTCATACAACAACGAGACTAAATCAAAACACCAAATACCAGCGAGCTCTGCATTACTCGCCACCCTTTTTTGTCTTTTTGTCAACCATGCAACGCCATGCCAGCCCGTATGAACGATTTCGAGGGGGTGAGCTGTCATCACCTTCACACAAACAAGCCTGCCCAGCCAGGCTCCAACTCAACCCCTACTCGGGGGAAGTACACTGCTGGGCAACAAACACGCCCCGAAAAGAAAATTGAATCCCCCAAAACGCACATTTTCCCGACCGTTCCTTTCGTTTTCACCTCCGTCTTCGTCGCCCGGACGCCGCCGCATGCTGTGTGTATGTCGTGTACGGGGTGTGTGGTGTGCTTCAGGGTACCTCGAGCTCACGGCCGTCCAGCCCTAGTGGTCCTGCAGCCTCGATCATGCTCCGATCCTTCATGCGAGCCATTCCTCTTCATCTCTCTTCAAACCTCTCATGACCAAACCGTCGTCCTCGTTGTCCGAGTATTCTTCTTCCTCCTCGTCTGCTTCTTGTTGCACTTCATGGTCCCTCTGGCGGGCAGCTGACGTGACGTCGTCTTCGGGCACTTCCTCCTCTTCCTCCAACATCCATGTTAGGCCGTTGGCTTGTTCCTCGAGAGGGAAGACTTCCCGCGCGTATTCCTCGAGTCCCCGCGGGCCTTCCCACAGCGCCATGGACTGTGAGAGACAGTTGTTCTCCAGCTCCACGTCGCCAAAGTACGGAGGCTGCTTCTTCGGGTCCTGGTGGCCAAGCGAAAACAGCTTCTCCAGCGCCTCGAGTTGCTGGCGGTACCCGGTGGGAATCTTGACTTTGAGGTCGACTGGGCCTCGGATATACCTGACCGGGCGCCCAACTCCTCGGGCGAAAACCTCACAAGCCTCCCGAGGGGTCAGCATCTCCCATGCCAGAGCGATGCGCTTTGCACGCCATTTGGACAAGCCGTCCTTGAATATTTGCAGAATAGCGGGGCCAACGTCGTGCTCGGCGTCGATCCATGGCAGCTTCACATCCTCGTGGAAGGGAGCCTGCCACTGGAAGGAGCCGTCGTGCTGGAGTTCCATGCAGAAGAGCGGGTACGGCAACGACGTGAAGTTGTTGTTGTAGATACCAGTGTAGACGAAGGTGGAAGGTAGATCAATGGAGCGCACGTACGCCTCGACCTTGTGCTTGGCCGCCCATAAGGGCAGCGACGGCCAGTCCGTATTGTAGGCTGCGTGGTCCGGCATGGAGGAGTAAACATAATGCTGGACCCCGGCCACTTTGGCGGCATCGGCGAGCGCCTTTCCGATCTCCAACTCGTCGCCATAAAAGGTTGTGTTGATGAAAGCAAGCTGCGTGCCGCGGAAGAGCTCCTTGATTAGGTCGTGGTTTACACCGACGCCGGAAATGGGACCGTTGGTTGTCACGTCTCTGTTGTCCGGCGTGGGCTTGTGTCGAGTGTACAACTCGCCGACAAGGACAGTGACGTTAGGGTTCGAGTTGACCTCTGTTGCCACGACACCCTCGAGGTTCCGCAGCTGGGCGCGGACATGGTAGCCCACGGCAGTGGCGACTCTGATGAACGAGGCGGCCTGACGACCGCTGGCGTTGATGACGGCAATCGTCTTATTGGGGCTGGGCATTGGGCGCTTGAAGGGGCGGAACGTCAATGAGTTATTCCTCGAGGAGGCCAGAGGTGACGATTCGGAGTAGGATGAGCGTGAGTGTTTGTGCGTCCTGAAGGTGCTGTACACGGCCGAGTCGCCGTGGTAGGGGTGATTTGAGTGACCCTGTTGCTGCTGCTGTTGGTGTTGTTGTTGCTGTTTGGCGGGCCGGATAGGGATCCCGATCCCGTTGAGTTGGGAAGGCATCAGGGTCACCATTTAGGGGTCTCCGAAACAAACCTGTTCTTGCGGGGAAGAGCAAGAAAAAAAGAAAGAAAAGAAAAAAAGGACCGAGTGGCCGGCAGCAGCGCAAGAAAGGGTTTTGAGTCGGCGAAAAAGAGTCGCTGATGCAAGGGCTTATCGTCAAGTCAACCCCGCTATTCTTCCCCAGAGGATGCGCTGCGCGGTAAGAAGGGTGTAAGTGCAGTCTTCGGGTTTGCGGAGAAGACGAGCGATGCGCTGGTGGTGGCGACGCTGCTTTGGTGGGTTGGTTGGTTATCCCGAAAGCGGCCTTTGTCGCAGGGGTCGGGGTTTATGGGAATGTTTTTAAATAGAGATATTAACCATGACAAACGGATACGTAAAATGCGGCCTCGAACCTATAGCAGGCGGGAGGGCTATCGCGAAATAGGGGATGACCGAACGGGCCAAGTGCAGGTCTGGTCTCTAGTCTCTGCGTCGGCGAGGGTGAGGGACACGGCACAGAAGCTGACTGAGAGTGGCCGGTGGAAGGGTGAGCCGTCGGGGTAGGGAGGAGAAAAGGTAGTAAGTAAAACGCGGTTCTCGGACCGGTATGATTCAAGAACCCTGAGGGGTGCGATTGAGGGGAGGAATGGCGAGATAGATAGCCAACGGTGCTATCAAAAGGGGAGGAGCTCCTTTTTTCCCCCCTTCGGTCGATGGCGGGGTTGACCCCAGCAAGAAGCCAATGTGCAAGATAGGTACTGGTAGTACGCCTGCTCAGGCCAAGGTGTCGATCAAAAGATCTGGGGGAACGAACGGATGGCAGGCTAGGCTGCGTTCGTCGGCGGAGGTGATGAAGGTGCTACCCCGGTCTGGTCGGGGGGGATGTGGGAATGCGGGAGAAAAGAGGAGAGGGCAGCCGTCGTCGTCGACGATGCTGATAAGGGAAATTTGTCGGGATGAGGCAGCTGCCCGCAGTTGAGAAGAGAGATATCTCGGGGTTTGTCGCACGCTGTCTCGTACTTACCCCGGGCGTTCCTGAGATAAGCGTCCAAGAACTGGAAGTTGGCAGCTGCTGAAATTGTAGAATGATTGGAGGAGGTGTCTGCACGTAAATGAGACGAGGCAGCTTGATGGTGTGTGGATAGTGAGGTGCCGCGAAGCGTGAAGTACCTGAGGGAATGTGGCAGATAAGTATGCACGCGCGCGTTTGTGTATATATATGTGTGTGTGTGTGTGTATGAAAGGAATAGTGAGCGATGCGCGTAACGGTGAGTGAGACTAGGGTTTGTGTGTCTGTGTGTCTGTATGTGCGTGTGTATGTATCCCCTGGTCTCAGTCAAGTGCGTAATTGCTGTCAGTCGACCTGTCCAGTCGGGACAGCTTCGTCAGGGTGATGATGATGATGTGCGTGCTCGATGGATTTGCTGTCGTTCCTGGGCTGTCCAACGACAATCTGCATTCGAATGCTCACAGTGCAAGGTGAGGTCGACCAATCGGAGGAATTAGTGGTTGGTCGTGACCCTGTATGGGAGTTGGAGCGTCACTGGCCAGATTGCCTGCGAGCAGCGCGGACGAACTGGATGGGAGTTCGGCGTGGAAATCCGATTCGAAGCTGTTGGTTCCGAGGGTTGAATGCCTCACGGCGGTGTATGGGTTGATACAAGACAGGGTCGGGTACGGCCAGAAAGGGCGGAAGCGCGAGATCCACGGCACAGTGGGTAGTGGTCGGATCAGATGATGGGCTCTTTTTTTTTTTTTTTTTTTTTTTGAGGGGGGCTCTTGGATCGTGCTGTTTTTATTTTTATTATTTTTTATCGCGATGGCCTTCCACTTGCGTCGAAAGGCGGCTCTTTGATTGCTGGCGGCAAGGGCTTGTATGTAGCGTGGATGGGGTTGGTTTATGTGAAGTCGAACATTGAGAGGAAGGTAAGAGATCGGAGCGGAGTGCCTAGGCTGCCAAGGCGAGAGGGGCTGGATAGGAATACTATGTAGACCAAGACAAGGACCCAACGCGTTCTGGGCAAAGGCAGAAGGGGTTGAGGGCCAGATGACCTCAGTTGAGGAGCATCAAAGCTTTTGGAGCCGGTTCTAGTCAGTCCGTGTGTGTGGTGGTGATTCAACCAACTAGAAACGGACAAGTGATGCCGTGTCGTCCAGGGCCGTGCAAGGTAGCGGCGGCGGGGGTGATGATGGTGGTTTTTGCCGGTCCGATTGACGACGAATAAATAGAGCAGCAGGACAACTGCGTGTAAGTCAACGGCAGACTTGCAAGTCGTCGGGGGGAGGGGAAAGAAGAGCAGTGAAGTCTCGAAAAGGATAAACGGGCAAACAGAGTAGGAGAAGTCGAGGGATATGTGTGTGTGTCAGTGAGCAGAGGCGGGCAAGGGTGGGGTTTGCTCTCTTAGCTGTGTGCTAGGTAGGTAGGTAAGGTAGGTAGATAATGAGGTCGGTTGAGACGATGACAACGGCGGTCAAGTCTCGATGTATTGGTACCTTTTTATTTTATTTTAATTATATTTGTAGTGTGTGTGTACGAACAAGTAGGATTACTCAAGGACGGCGAGCGGGACGGGACGAGCAAAGTCGGGAGACGAAAACGACCAAGAGAAATTTGGATTTCAACTATGGAAACTAGGCCCTTCGATTCGGTGGACGGGGGGGCACGGCAGGGCCTTGCGGTTGGCCCTTTTCTGTTAATAATTGAATCCTCGCGCCGGCGGCCACGAGGATGAGCAGGTTGCGTTTTTTCCTTTGGACCTTGGATGCAAGCGCAACAACGGGGCTCCATCGAGCGGAAACACCACACATGCACACAAGTTCAAGCCATCATCCATGGAGGCCCGGGAAGCATGGCCGGCCCCGGGGGTCGAGAGGGGAAGCAAGCAAGCAAGCAAGCAAACAGGCAGACAGGCAGGCAGGCCTGCTTTACACTGGATGTATGGCTGGTTTTGGTTTTTTTTTTTTTTTTTTTTTTTTTTTTTTTTTTTTTTTAATTTCTTAATCGAGGGAGCCGATGGGATGGCGATGGAACTATGCTGTACAATGTTATGTACTATAGTACAGATTTGACTTGCAAAGACTGACTGATCCGATGATAAGGTGCAGAATAGCGTTACCGCAGTACATTACATTACATTACCACGGGCTATCGAGTAATGAATCGGAAACTGCAAGGTGATGAGAAGTTTCTTCCAACCAGGATGGATGGATGGATTGATGGAAGGATGGGAGAGGGGGTACGGATGATAGGCGTGGTATCCATCCATGGGATTCTGCCTGTACGCTACTTGGACCGACACGGTGTCGAGGAGGAGGCACGTGTACGCGGTACCTTCCCTGCTTTGCCGAGTGCCTGACGTCCTCCTCCTCCTCCACCACCTTGCCAGCCAGCGCTCTCCAGCAACTTCGAGAAGCCGTGCTCCAACTGTTGCATCTCCAGCCTGTGACGGCCTCGGATCGGGCACTTGGTCACTGAATCGGGTGATGCATCAACCGAGACCGGGACGGCTGGAGCCACTCTTGGAGCCCTCCACAGGGGCGGGGGGCCGTTCTTCAGTCTCATCCATCCCTTCTTCCATGATTGCAACGTACTGTACGTGGAGTAACGTACAGTATCCGTACATTGTGGATACACTCCGCGCTCATCAACTCGGTGACGAAGAAACGGGGAATCGCAGCAGCAAGAGGGAGTTGGAGAGATGGAGAGGTAGTGTAACATACCTAGGTAACACACGAGCTGTGAACAGTACAGGGAAGAGAAGACTCCAACTGCACGTACCCGTACTGTATGCAAGTACTGTACACTGCTGGGGCCTTCCCAGTGCCGCCGTAGTCGCAGCATTTTTTTTTCTTCTCTCTCCTCTTCCTTGGATATCCAGTCCATACTGTCTGTCCGCTCCAGTAAGGAAAGTCAGATCAGACTCTAATTAACCCCAAGGTTGGCTTTATTATGTAAGAGGTTGGCTGCGGTTGGCTGGGCGTTGCGCTTGCGCGGTTGTTCTTACCTTAGCAATCTACCATCTACCCCCCCCAAGGTGGGAAACCGCTCCTCGCTTGTCTCCAATTTTTCTGATCCTTCCCTTTTTTTTTCTTTCCTTCCCTTTCTTTCGCAGTGCGGCGGGTTACTTGGCCTACCAACCTACCTACCTACTTTGCTACGTAGCTGTACGCAGTAGGTGCGTGCCTTGGAAAAATTTTCCTTATCTTTTGCAGCTTTTGCACACACCCCTCCCCACTCTCTCTCTTTCCCTACCTCTCTCCTCCACCTCTCTCCTACCCGGACCCAGCCAGACTTCTTACTCACGGCCATGCAAGGCTTCCGTCCATCCTATGCGGCCATGCCCCCGTCACGTCACTGTTGTTCATTCTTCGTTACTCCCATCTGCTCAGGTTTGCTGCAGAATCCTTCCCGGGATACAGTGGAGGCGTACCTCACCAAGTACCCTAGTTAGCTAGGTACAAACACTGCGCCGTTCCGCATCAATGCTGCATGGTAGGCAGTCTTGACTTCGGCCGATGGCTGTCGCTGGCCAATGACACAAAGTCCGGAAGGCCAACCGGGCTAATGAATCCATTACCCACGTCAGTCACGGCAACCGAGAACGAGGCGTCTGTCTGCCTGTCTAAAACACATGTACTGTACTACATATGCTACTATGTATACTTAGTTAGGTAGTCTCGTGAGGTGCTGTATGTACGGATACTCCCCCATCCTCTCTGCTCGACCCGCCTTAAATCAAGCCAAAGACCACCCGCCGTCATCAGATAAGAGAGGCACCTTGATGACCCTCCGGCTGCCGGTCCAGAGTCTACCGGTACACGTGCCCGGTGTCTACACCAGATAGTATAGTACACTGACCTCCTCGACCACTCATCACGGAACGGGGTGCCTTGGATTTAAGCAATATCGCGCCGGCCAACCCCCGGCGCAAATCAGCATCTCCACATGCCGACGACACTGGCCTGTTGTCGGAACCCATCCCGATACGGATGCCACGATATCCTCCGTACCCAACCCTGTGCAAAGTTTTCTCCTTTCCTTTGCTTTCTCTTTTTTCTTCCCCCCGCTCCTTGATTCTCTTGTTTTAGTGGCTCTGAACTCCGAGGTCCACACACAAACGGCCGTGGTGCACAGAAACCTACGCCATCGAGCCCTTTACTGTCCTTGGCCACTCTATTACGGATGCCTAACGACTGTATCCGTAAAGCTTGTACGCGACAGACTACGGACCGGTTACGCATGCCAGCGCGCTATAATTCCCTACCGGATGCTCCACTGAGTACTTGCGATACCTACCTGGACTAAGAATGCCTAGGTAAACTACGAATGCGCATGGCGTACAAGCATGGGCCCGGTCCTGGAAATTGTGCCTCCCCACCGTTAGCTCCGAGGCAGAAAAGCCCCCATCGGAATATCGCAATCCTGCGCCACGATGGGCAAATGTGGTGCAAAATCAGACACGCGCTCCTGCTCTCCCACAACCACCGCAGCGCACTAGTATCTGGCTCCTAATACTCCGTAGGTAGCCTCGCTCTCTTGCATGTCCGAGATTGGCCTCTGTTCTGTGATGTACCCGTGCCACACTCGCACCTCCCAGGTTGAGCCCAGCACCGTGGCCACGCACGCCGTCGCTTCTTTGGCTCCGAGGGCCTCTCATGCACATCGGCTGCAGAGACGCCAACCTCTCAGAATCCGACGGTCTGTTACGTGTAGACGCCCGACTGCTCTGTCACATTGGCCTCACACGAATGGTGCCATTGGTCGTCGATTCATCGTCGTTGTCAGCCCGGCACCTGCTGTACGCATGGTGCAACATGCTGCAATATGACGAGTGAGGATGGATTGGCATCATCGAGACCTGCGTCTCGTGGCCACCTTCCCCCGAGCATGCCGCATCCTGTCGCCCGGCAACATGCCGGCGGCCAGCATGGGAGGGGAGGGGAGGGGAGTAGACGGAACGAAACTCTCCAAAGGGCCCAGGTCGAGTCGCAGGATGCAAACGCGACCCAGTGGAGCATCCATCCCTAAAGGCTAATGTGAGATTTGAGGCGGAACCTGCTCCCGCTGAAAGTCTAGACCTGCAGCAGCTGCAACCGTTGTCTCTTACACCCCCATCACCGGCGAACCGGTCAGCCGCTCTAGGACACCGATGGCTGCCGCGGCGACGATGACTGCACAAGACGCAGTAATTACCGGGCAACACGAGACGGCGAAACGACGGGCTGGGCTGGCAGACAAAGACAGGCAAGATATGAGCCGCCTCTCAACTAGACTGACTGACAGAAGGCGCCAAGGTGCGTAACCAGATTGACAAACGGTTGAGACGAAGGAACAGGCACGGGCAAGGACGTGCCAATAGAGCTTCCAGAATCGCGTAATGTCGGCCTGACCAGAAACGCATTCTTTCCATTACGTACGAAATGGAGCCAGACCAGCGCCATGCCGTCACCCAACGAGCTGACTGATGTTACAGTCTGCTCATAAGCCAACATTCCCCCCTCTCCCTTCTCCGAAACGGACATCTCCGCGGAAGACATGTACCTCACCACAAACAGCACCCGGGAAGCCTTGTGACGCTTGGCGTCCATGTCGAGTCGAGGGAGCGGCTAGAACGACAACCAGCTGAATCGACGACGACGACGACAACGACGACATGCACCAGCAAACAAGCCCCGGCAGCATCTGGAGCTGCTGCTGGTCTAATGCAGACAGTCCCCGCTTCTCTGCCGCCAATTTTGCGGGGAAGAAGGACCCCTGCCTTGCGTCGATGGCACCATTATTCGTACACAAATAATACCTAATTAATTACTATACCTAATCACAACCTACTACTGTGGGTGTACGCGTTGGCTACCATGTTGGAACGCCGCATCCATCCTCCCGCAGCAAAGCCTACATATGCATAGGACCGAAACCACAGCGTCATTGTCAAAGACGACATTGTTGGGGTCCTTTGCCTTTTTTTCTCCCCCGCCCGAGTGGCCGCCGGCCACTTCAACCGGTCCACCGTTTTTACGTCACGTTAATTCTTTTCGGTCTCGACCACGGAGAGGTGAACCCCCCTCCTTGACCTCCAGGGTCCAATTTCTTTGGGTATGGCTGGCACGGCCGCTCACCGCACGCCATCGGTTCCAGCCAAGTCTCGATGAGAAGGAGGGCCCGAAGCAGAAGAAAGAAAATCCGGTGTCACGATATCAAAATTGCTGTTCCGCGACAACCTCGCGTCTATTTTCAAGTCACATGAGCCGACCTATTTTGACATCCCTGCCTTGCCAGCTAGCCCTGGCTCACATGTTTGCACGTTTGTCCGTAGCCTACACCGCTTGCAACCAGGCATCCCCTACGGGCCCATTGCATCGGCTTGCCGAGCCGCTCTGGCAGAGGCATACGGGGCAGGCCGTCTTGTCATGTAATCCATGTAGCCCCCCCGTAAAAAACAGTATGGTCAACTGGAGCTCAACCCTGCTGTCCCAGAATCGAACCATATGCCCCTGACTCCGGGAACTCAAAGTCGTCCGGCGCCGGCGCTCGGTCAAACCACTGCTGGTCCGTGTCTAGGGGCCCGAGGGACCCGAGGCCGATGGGGTCACTGTTGGGCTGGGCAATGATGTTGTCAAAGTAGCGCTATAGAGATTAGCAAGTGACTCTGTTAGGTATCTGTGAAAATGCAGACGCACCCAGTCCATTTCGTTTCCTCCAACTGCAACCCAGCCACGATCAAGACCATAGTCGTTTGGTCCGAGTCCAGACGTCATGAACTCAAACAGCTGGAAGTTGCTCGCCGTATTCAAGGAGGACGCAGTCGGACCTGCCATTTCGTTAGTAACCCGACGATTGTCAGTCAAGTCCCAGGAAGGAGGGAGAGGGCGGGGCGAGGTGGCTCTTACTGTCAATGGAAAGGTTGTCGGGGAGAAGATAATCCTGGCTAGAACTGCTCTCCGAGACCAAACCACCGCCCTCACGCAGCCCCGACACCGACAAAGCCTGGCCGGCCTCGTCCTTTGGCGGTGAGTTTGGCGGCGATCCGAGCTTGCCTAGCATCGTCTCCAATATGCCCGCCGTCTTCCGCAACTCGGGCACGTCCGTGGCGATGCTGGCCCACACAGAGTACGACCGCTGCAGCAGGTGCAGGAGACGCCCCCTCGTCGGCGGCGGGCTCATCCCGGCCATCCACTCGTGCTCGACGCCGACGTCCCAGAACTGCCGGTTGCCTACGGCCAGGTAGAGGATAATGGCGGCCAGCAGGAAATCGTGGACGGCGAGCGAGGACACGTACCACCCGTGCTGGCTGAGCATGTGGCCCGGGCGGGAGGCCTGCCAGATGGTATTCTGGAAGTCGAGTAGCGCGATGGCGCCTTCGAGGCACTGCCGCCGCGAGTGGTCGTGCTCCCGCCGCGGTAAGGGCTCCAGGAGGAACCGCCGGTGCAGCACGCACCGGGACTTGTTGTAAAGCGAGGCGAGGCCGAAGCGCTGGACTATCTGCACCGCCGGCGTCGTGACGCACTGCTCGAGAGGCTGGACCCTCATGAACTGCGGCACCCTGGCCCAGGCCTCTCCGAGGAGGCCGTCGAGGCGCATGACCTCACGGTAAGGAGGCGGCGCGAGAAGGTGTGCCTGCCGCGCGATCTGGCCGAAGACGCGCATCAAGCACGACTTGTTGATCGGGTACGTCATCTCGGTGTAGTCCGTGGGCGGGCGCGGGGGCGGGAGGGCGGCCGAGTCCTCGCCAAAGTCCTCGTCGACGAGGTTTCGCGGGAGCTCGCAATCGCTGTCGATGCCGCTGAACATGCTCGGCAGGCCCATGTGGAAGCTGACGAGGAGGTCGAGCTGTACGGCCATGTTCCACATGCGGCGGCGCATCTCGCCCTCGAAGGGGGAGATGCCGGCAAGCCGGTCCGGGTCGCGGTGCATCCCCATCTTCAGGAGCAGCCGAAGGCACACGGACGACAGAACGTAGCAGTTGGTTTGAGCGGCGCGGGCAATGGCGAACTCGGACTCGACGTAGAGGATAAAGGGCGGGATTGTGGCGATGGACGGCTGGGTGTAGCGGCCCAAGACGAGACACCACGCCGCCGCCGCACGGAAGACCTTGATGCGGTCTACCGGCGGTTCCGGGGAGTCGGAGACGAGTTCGTGGGGTGCCGTGACGGTAGAGTAGAAGACACCGATGGACATGATCATGAAGATGAGAGCGAGCCAGTGGATGGGGACACTGGGAGGGTCTGCCCAGAACTGGGCGTACTTGGACGGAGGGTGCTGTCAGTGCGGCCTCGACGATGGATGGCGACGAAGGGGTTCGAGAGGCGTCCTGAGCCGGGAGGGGAGGAGGAACTTACTTGCTTTACAAACGTTGGTCTGTGGACGATGTCTGCTCCTGGTCAGTACACAATACACAAGAGACAACCTCGTGCAGCTTCCCGGGGTGGCGGTCACTCACGTTGCGAAGGGTTCTGCGATGAAAAGTACCGCATGACGAGCCGGTCGACAATCTTCCGATCGGGGATCAGCCGCATCAGGTCCTCGCGGCTGCGGGGCGCGCTTCCCGAGGAGAAGATCAGATCCGGCGCCTCGAGTTCGCCCGAGGGCCCTGGGCTCTCGTCGTCGTCGAGCTCGGCCTCTTCCAAATAGCTCTTAATGTCCTCGATCTGCTCCCCTCGCCCTCGCCTGTCAGCCGGCCGCGTTTTTTTCTCTTTCTTTTTTCTCTCTCTACCTCTCTCTCTCTCTCCCTTGCCTTCATCGAACGTGAATGTTCGCAACGGAGGCAGGCGCACGACAGGTGAACCGGCGGAGCGGAGCGTGTGACTTACATCCTCGAGGACCGCCATGAAGTGTGTGGCGCCGACGTATGTGCTCGCCCTCTCCCCGCGGACTAGCTGCCCGCCCGGCTGAGCGACGCCGACCTCCTCTACCCGGGCGCCGGTGGCGATAGAGGAGGAGGTGCAGGAGGGGGCGGGGACGACGCCGTCGTCCATCATCGTCCGCACCATGCCCTCGAGCTGCCTCAGCCGCGCCGCCATGCCCTTGGGCGGCCTCTTCTTCTCGGGCTTGGGCACGTAGACGCAGCTCTCGGGCCGGGACTTCCTCAGGCACTGGCCGCACGGTGCGGCGCGGTCGCACCCGAGCTTGGAGGCGCGGCACGGGCCACAGGACAGGGGGACGCGGGAGCGTTTCGCCGCCGCGGCGCCCGAGGTGGGCCCCGGCGGACCCGCGTCGTGTCCCGGGTTCATGGGTCTTGTTGGGAGGTTTGTGGGGGCGGGGGCGTTCCGGTGCATCTCCGTAGCTACAGACGGACAGGAGTCCACCGACGCATGGGGGGGGGGGGGGGGGTATCAGAAGGGTGTGCTTGACGTGCGGGAATATGCCGGAGGGTCGCACCGCCGTGATGCTCTTGGTGGGATCCGGAGGCGGGGGGCTTTATCCGACGTCGGTCCCGGCGCCGGGATTTCCACCAGGGTCAGACCGGTAAAGAAACACGGGTATTTCGGGCTGTCTAGAGGGGGCAGCAGGTCTCGAGCATGCAGGCGAGGTGCGAAATATGCGGGTTCATGCTTTTGATTTCAAAGGATTCTAAACCAGGCAACTAACTAAGCTGACGTCGCCATTTGCTCGTCAGATTCGGGAATAAGGTATTTTTAAGTCCGAACATCAAGCGGTTTCTCCCAGAATGTCAAATCCAAAGACAGCCGGGTCGAAGAACATCACGACCCAGTTTATTTCCTACCACTTGTGCAGGGCGGCCAACGGCCAATAAAAATAAGTGCTTTTGCGTTCCAGCCATAGCGTTGGTTCTCAGGAACCCTGGCATTGAGGCTGTAAGTTTCACACGGAAGAGTCTCTTCCTTTTTGCCAATATCTCAACACTGAATCATCTTGTCCCTTCACCATTATAATGTGTCGTTGTTCTCTGAGAAAACTCTTGGCCGTTTAAACCGGGGCGTCTGGCAGTCTCTCAATGACGTACTTTCCGCGGGCACATTTCATGATGGGAACACCTGGGATTCGGCGGAGACGGGAGACGAGGCCGGCGTCGTTGGTTGCAACGATGTAGACTCGATCTTTCGATACTTTCGATACCTAGATCGCAGAAGTCAGCTGAGAAGCCTTGTTCAGTAGAACGTATGTGCGGCTTACAATGCAGTCATCTGCATATACACCCTTGTGGGTGCATTTGTGACGTTCCCATCTTTCGTCTCTGGCTAACCTCAGCGCAAGGCGGAACTTGGGACCCAACTTCTCCAACTCGGCCTTTGGAAATGCTGTCAGCAAACAGAATCAATTGGAATTAACGTCAACTTGGAGTGCTCACCATGACACAGTCGGTGACGATAGGCTGGCACGTCGCTAGGAAGACCTGTTAGCCCGGGGTAGCCGAAGACAGTGTGTTCTGGAGATTACCATAAAGACAGTCCATCATCGTCTCTAGCGGCTCCAGTTTCATTTGCAGTGTCCTATTCCAAAAGGACGTATCAACGATGACACTGTACGGAGGGACGAGGGCGGTGTTGGCCTGGAAGAAGAATGATGACGGGACTTGGGGGATTTCGCGAATTTTCTCGTTTCCATCGGGGCCAGCACGCTCGCGTTTGGCCTTCTCAATGGCCTCTTCGGCCTTCTTCAGGTTCTCCTTACGCCGGGCATCGTTCTTGCCAATAACTCGTTTGACCTGGTGAGCGGGATTGTCAGCAAAGCGCTCGCATGAAACCACCTCCCCTACAAAGGCCCAGAAGGACAGGCTCCAGTGACGTTGATTCGAGAGAAAATTATCAGAGCCAAGCACTGAGAATCAAGACCATCGATATCAATTGTCGTTTGTCCAAGAACGAGTGCTCGTCGTCGGGGTTGGGGTATCACGATCATCGTGAAGTTTTCGCGATGCCAAAAAAGTTCTTATCGATAAGGAACTTTTTCTGTGGCGCAACGAAAGAGCGGGAAAGGGGAGCGAAACATACTTCGGCGAACTTTCTGGTCTTCTTTTGGACACCCATTGTACGTTCTACCTTCTGATTTGGGTGGATGGCCGTGAGAGGTGAGTGTTTGTCTATTGACGAAGCGGTGGTGATGACAAGGCTAGGCAAGGCTATTGTATGAATATGGATTGGAGTTGGCCGCTTGCCTTATGTGGCGGGGTGGGGCGGGGCGCCAGCATAGAGGGAAAAAAGTTTTCGGTGTGCGCGTCTGAAGGTTCTCAGCGAAGTCGGTGTGTAAAGGTATATCGGTGTAGCGGTGTAAGGGCGTACCACCAAAAAGAACCAGATATATCTGTGCTCTTGCGAGGAAGAGTCACGTGTTTTCGAGCGGTGGGGCATCGATTGTGGCCTAGAGCAACAAGAATGAGGGGACAATGGGACTCTCAGGGACTCACGAATGACAAGGGCCCTCTCGCACCGGTTGGACGGGCAGGCGTTAGCGTTGCAATCTCCTCTCCCAGCCATTCAAAAAACAAACGATCGATCAGCACGCCCAGATGATGGGGGAGATGGGCGTAAGACAAGGCGGTGCCTTGCATCATGATTTCAGTGTATGCATAAGATGATAGACAGACAAAATTCATAGTGAGTGAGAGGGCAATCTGACGATAGGTATTCAACAAGCGGTTGCGAGCTATCATCAGCCCAGGATGTGTGACTCGTGGGGTGGCCATCCATCCATCACTCGCAAGTCGCATCCTTGAGAGAGGCTTGCTTGCAATCGGTTCGTGACTTGGCGGCCCATATTAATCGATGGATTATGAAGATCTCGTACAAGTACCGTTAGGTGGGCATCTGTCAGGCACACTTACCGCTTTACCCCGGATGAGGGCTCGTGTTGGCGACCTGGAGCCACTGTAGCGCAGACTGAGAGATGCTGATTAGTGGAGCCAACTCTGTCAATACGAGCAAAGCATCATGGAGGGCGACTTCTGCACAGTTCATCTTTGCAGGCTTGCTCTGTACCACACTGTATGCCGTTCCCCCAGATTCCACCTTATGCAGGTCAGAAACCTGCCTATGCATGTGACGTCCCAGCACTGTGTGTCTGTCTCCATGCCTCTTGCAAAAGAAATGCTTGCCCAAATGCACAAAAATAAACAGACCAGCCACGAACACAGAGCAGCACGTCAGTCAGAACTCTCCCTCCCTCCATTGCAGCCAAATGCGCCGCGCCACACAGGACGAAGCCCGTCTCGCCCGCTAATAACACTCTGAACGCCGGTCCCGTCCCTCCCCACCAGGGAAGGACCCTTCCTTCCTCCTTTTTCTACCCAGGCCCCTTCCCTGCTGATGGCCCGGACCCGCCTCTGCCTTCCCTCGCCTTCCCCATCACGCAACCCTCATCCCTCCCTTTCCTCCTCCCTCCATCCCTCTCCCTCACAGCCAGCCCTCGGAAGCTACTCACTCAGCCAGAAGATCAGCCGGTATCAGCAATGTTCTAGCCAGCGGATCCCTTTCAATCTTTAAACGTCTCACATAGTCTGTCCTGCGTTTTGTAAATTCTGGCGATATCTTCCTTCCACTCGCCGCGCACCATCCATTCATCCACTTCCAAACCGCGCTATCCGCCAGCCACGACGACCACGACGACCACGACGACCACGCTCCTTTGCCCGCTGGCTCCGACACCCTTCCTCCCCAGTCGTTCCTTCCCTCGTCGATCGGATACAATTGCAACGACTGGCTTCGTGAACAAGACACCTTGACACGACCGCATCGTCTTGGTTTCCAGCACCGAATTCTATCGAAACCTCGACCTTCGGACGTAGCCGGGCATTTCGATTAAGCAGGTGGATATGGCCCCCTTACGCAACTCGCTGAAGCGCACGCTTCTGCTGTCCACCTTCGCCGCCCTATCACTTTTCTCGGCCACGGGTTTGGCGCAGAACAACCCGAGCGGGGGAGCTGCTCAACCCAGCCCTCAATCGACGCCCGCGACTTCCCCAACCCAGGAAGCGGCCCAGCCCACTCGCACCCCGGTGACCGGTGTCATTTCCAACACTGGTGCCGCTGTGACCACGGAAGTGAGCATCAGCGCTCCTAGGATCACCGGCGGTGGCTCCGGGACCGCTGGCGAGGTCCTTACAGGTTTCCCATCCCTCACCAACGCCCCTCTTGTGACGACCTATCCGCCGCCGACCGTCCCCCCCACCAGCAACGCCCCCTACATGCACCGGTCCACCGCTCCTCAGGGAACCGTCTTCATCGCAGTTGGTGCCATCCTCGGTGCCTTTGGTTTCGGCATCCTGATCTGGCGCGGCATCGTCGCTTGCCTCCTGCATCGCTCCGTCGCCCGGGCCGCCTACGCCCAGCACGATGCCAACGACAAGGCGAGCTTCCCTGCCCCTCCCGCCCAGTTCTACAAGTACACCGACCGCGAATCCACTCCTTCTCTCCTTACTGCCGGCGGACGTGGTGTGCGTAGGACGCAACGCGGTCCCATCCCCTCGACTACCCCGAGCCAGTCGAACCTTTTCTTCTCGCCGACAGCGGCCGGCGGCGGCAACAATAGCAATATCAACAACCAGACCAATGCCCGCGACTCCCGCTTTCTGCCTTCAGGGTTCTACGCCGCTGCTACTGGATCTCCCAGCCCTGCTCATGGCCACTCAATAAGCTTGACGAATCTGCGCCCCGAATCTCGAGGCCAGTATGGAAGCCGCAACACGTTGAGGGAGTCTACGCCTCCCGATTCTCCCTCCTTTGGTGCGAGGCGCGACTTCAGCACCAGCTCCGTCAATCTGTCCGCAGCGCCTGGGAACGGCCAGAGGGCACCGAGCGCGTACCTAGAGGACCTCCTTGACGAGAATCCTCATGCCTTCCCGCCCAGCTCGATGCGGCCCGGGTCTCGCAACGCCAACAACTCTCCCAGCACCGGTTTTAGAGCATAATTCTCCTTTAGTTTCTCTGCATCTCTGTGTCGAAACAGTTTTCTTGCGTCATGGAAAAAGTGACGAAACGTCACGGCTTGGGGATTCTTGGATGGCACATTTACGGCGTCATGGGGCATGATCACGTTGCATCACTGGTTTGGAATACTCTATTTTAATCCCTTCCCCCAACCACAACACTGGGCCGGTCACTTTGTAACCCTCATGTGCCGGCATTCAACTAGTTCAGAATAGAGCGCAATCGCACAAAAGCAAGAGCCGGCTGCCCTAATCGGGTCGCAGCGCGAGAGCGGTGTCGTAGTCGTAGTTCGTCCTGTATCACACAGGCGCGCGACGGAGCATTGGACTGGGTATTCTCGGTGGTGATGGCCTGTCATTGGCATTTCTTTATTCGCTTCTCTATCGCTCTCT